TAGCATGTGTATGCCTCAAATTATAACAAGTTATAATGCTATAAACAAGAAATAATGAATGGTAAATCATTAGCCACAAGAATAATGCCTTTAATTGGGAAAATAGTAGTCCTCGGTGTTCACCAGTTCGGTTTTGAACCCAGTTATCCCGATCCACAGTCAAATAAATCAAGTCGACATTGATTTCTTTGATTTTGGTTTTTATGTTTTGGGAGATTATCTATGTGATTGCAATAATATATCATATAATGGATCTTTCTCTTTGGAGGCCCATGGTTTTTCTCTGGTCGAATATTCTTGTGTTCGATTATTTTATTTATTATTAGCTTTGGGAGGTTTGTTGGGGATCTTTGAGGCTATTTTTCCCAAAAGTGGCAGTAGAGCTCTGAGTTTGGGGAGGTATCAATTTTAGGGGTTTATAATATGATATGTGGTTGCAACTTTGTCTGATCTTCCACATCAAAAATGATTTTTCTATTGGTCATAATGGAAGGTGTCTCGGTACTTTAAAGGTTCGTAGCAAGCTTTGTGGTTGTAGCCTGGTTTAATCTTCTACATTAGAAATAAGGATATGGTTGATTGTTCTTTTATAATAGAATTATATACAATTATGGAGTACATATCTCTAGGAAAGACTTAGTATTTAAGTGTGTTTGTTTTAACCCGGCTCTCTTTCATGTGAATCCTTTGTTGGTATATACTTACAAGCGTGGTGTATATTTTTCTACTATACAATACTGTTTTTTGAGATACAAATACGATATCAAAATTCTGTCCCACGAGGTAGATGTAGAGAAATATGATGGAAGAAACAACTTTAGTTTGTGGAAAGCTCAAGTCTATGATTTTTTTATTTGGTATGGGTTATATAAGGCATTAAAAGGGAAACCAATCCCTGTTTTTAGGAAGGAACCGAATTGCAACCAATAAAATCGACGATGGTGAATATGATGATTTGGATTTAAAAGAGTCAAATGTGATTTGTTTATGTCTTGTAAAGAAAGTACTTGTAAATGTACATGAGATATCAACGACAAAGGAACTTTAGGAAAAACTTGAATAGTTGTATCAAGGTGAAAGGATCTCAAATTTGTTGTATCTAAATGAATGTTTCATATTTTTTGTATGAATGGTGGTACAAAAATATCATATCATCTAAGTGTTCTTTATCAGTGTTATTCTTACTTGTTTTTAAGTAGTGTATTTTGGTCATACGATATGCAATTCTTTGTAAGTTGGATCAACAAGAGGAACGATTATGCAAAGTCCATCTGTAATCAAGTTTCGTGTTTCTTACTCAAGAAATTCTTAGTTTGATAGTTTTATGTTTAGAGTGATAATAGTAAATCTTTTAGACTTATTAAACATTTTTTTAATAAATTTGTGCTTTTAGTATTGAGAATATTGTTGTTAGACAAGTTTAATTTTACGAGTCTTGATTATGCTTTTCCCATACCTTGATTGGTGGTTTTAAAGTCCAAGGAAATGCAGAAGTGAAAACCGAAGCTTGAAGGAATTAATCGAAAAAAATCTAAAAATTTGTGGAATTATATTGAAGGCGCCAGGGATCCATTTAATAGGCACCAAGGGGACCAAGCCCATGGGCTGAACAACTTTGTTGGGTTTTTGGGAGTATTTAAGGCGCATTAACCCATAGGGTTTGATCATTCTCAGCCTCCATTAACCTTAGAACCATCTTTGGGAAACCTTATCCTCTTATTAATAGTTTTGAGCTCATCTTCTCTCCTCTCATCCATATTTTTGTGTTTTTATGGCTTTAGAATGAAGTATTCTTGAAAGATTTGACATTAAAGCTTTGCAACTAAAGAAATAAGTCTTCATCGATCTTTTGGACCTTGGTATGTCTTAAATATTCAAGCTTTATTGATTTTCACCTTTAGATCTACATGTATTTGCTGTTTTAGTCCACTTTAATGTTGTTTTGGTCCTTTCTTGGCTTGATCTATGGAGCTTGGACAACTCTATCGCCTTTCAATCATTTGAGACTTGAAATATGACCTTTTCTGTTATGACCCAAAAATCCTTCTGTTAACGATGTTAGCTTTCAATTACATGAATATTTATCTATGTGAATGATTTTAGCTTTATGATTTTAAAATTCAGTAAATAAAATAAAACAGTATAAGTTAATATCTAAGAGGATTAATCAATAATTAAAGGTAAATAATTTAATTAAATTAATTTATGGAACTATTAGGGTAAATATGATTTATTTAAAAGGTTTAAATGTGATTGAGGGGGCTGAAATGTTATTAATAAAACTTAAAATGTTAAGGTATCTAGGGATAGTGTATGGGTTGTCCAAGGCTAAAACTTGAGAGACCTAATAGCAAAAACATGCGTAACAGCCCATAAGTTACGTCCAATGGGTTACAAAGCTTGGTGATGTTTGTTTGTTCTCTTTTCCTTTGGCTTTTTATGTTTGCACAAGAGCATCTCTAGATCGTTCTTCGATTGTTGAAGGAACGATGACAAGAAAAAGGCGATGTGGGGAATGTGTGACTAGTGACGGGCGGGAGAGGAAGGTGTGACATCCCCATTTTCACGGCCAGAAAAGACCGATTTTGTTTATGCTTTATAAAAATCAGAGTACTTCATTTTATAAAAAGGTTGCGGAATTTGTTCCCAGAAAAACACGATAAATACGTTATTAAAACATTTTCGAAGAAACGTATTTTTATTCATTTAAAACGTTTGGGATGTCATCGTTAATACAGAAACATAAGCATAAACAGAACTTACATGTATTTACACTAGTGATCTACATCTCTTTAAATCTCTCAGTGTAAAGTGACTTCGTATCAACACCTGTGATATAAATAAACTGAGTGGGTCAGGTTGGGAAACCTGGTGAGTACATAGGGTTTTCAACCCACAATAATATAATTATTATGTTCAATCAAAGAATCAACCCAATTACCCATCCCCGTTATCTTTTTTTTTTTACTCTTTAAGGATTTATCCTAAGAGTCATCTATTCTTCATTCGTTTATTCCGAAGTCCCTTACTTCCAGGGTTCTAGGACTGGCACTAAATCCATAGCTGCCAATGTTCGTTCATAAAGCACTAATTCCATAGCTGCTATAGTCTATTCATCGGGTACTAAATCCATAGCTACCAGTCTTTATCTAATAGGTACTAAGTCCATAGCTACCAATGTTCAACAGGTACTAAATCCATAGCTACCAACGTCTAACAGATACTAAGTCCATAGCTACCGGTGTTTGTCCCATAGGCACTAAGTCTATAGCTGCGAATGTATACTCACATCATCTTCTATCTATCATCATTTATCTACCCATCATCATACCCAACATATTCGTATATATAAAATACGTATACAGTTTAAATCCTTTAAAACATGTATAAAACGTTCATCCAGCATAGACAGCAAGTATTCAGATAATATGCACACATAGCACGTAGTTTATATAAAATACTTCATATCTATGTGTAAGATGAAAGAGACTATGCACTCACAACACGTAAATTATATAATAAATACTTCATATCTATGTGTAAGATGAAAGGGACCATGCACTCACCTGAGAAGGTGGTGACTCGGTACTCGGACAGCGCTTCGTTTACTTTAAAATAATTTCTTTCGACGAAACCTAGTATTATCACCAATAGATTTTAGTCTATTATTCGCCGAGACTAATTAATAGTCTAGCTATTATTACTATTATATAAGCGTTAAAAAAATACTTATATAACCCATAATAATAGCCCAAGTATTTATTATATGTTCTTAATAACGTTAATATAATTAAATAAAAACTATATTAAAAATAGCGTAGGCGTAGCTCACTTACAGCGGGTTTTATAGAAAACCAGGCTTTGCTTGGAGCAGCGTTTCCAAGCCGAAAAGCTCTTCTTCTCGGAGCCGTCCAGCACTCCGGGGCTTCCACCTCGTGCTAGGAAGGTTCCCTAGGCTTTTCGGGGGATTTTGGGGCTAGAGAGAGGTTCTAGAGAGAGAGTAAAGAGAAGAAAGAATGGGAAAGGTGTGAAGAAAATGAGGGTGGGAGAGGTGGTATTTATAGGGTGAAAATGGCTGAACTTGGTGCCACATGTCACCATCTAGTGGCAAGACTTGGGGAGAAAGCAATGGCCAAGATTGTGCCACATCACCCATTTTCGCATAGCACACTTCCGACTTCTAAAATCCGTAACTTTCACATACGACCTCTGTTTTTGACGTTCTTTATATCCACGCGTAGGTAAAAATAATATCTACAACTTTCATTTTGACTCCGTCGGCTAATTCTCGACCGATCTTAAATTTAACAGTACGAGGCGTTTAGACTGTTAAATGACCGCGAAGAATTCGTAACTCCTTCATACCGACTCCGTTTTCGTCTGTATTTTTACCGTTGAGTTCCTATTAATGAGATCTTGAACTCTCATTTAGGTCATGTAAGCCAAAAACCGCTCGAACTAAAATTCGAGTTTCGGGTCGTGCACTGCTAAGCCGAATCTTAGAAAAATCATAACTTCCTCATACGAAGTCAGATTTGGGTGTTCTTTTTATCGACGCTCTTAGTTTAACATATTCTACGACTTTGGTTTAGATTGCTAAGGATAAATCTCGCTCTATCGTAAATTCACTATTTACGCTTCCCGGTGCCGTGCCGGTTTTGCCGTAAAACTTCGACGGGCCATAACTTCTTCGTTATAACTCGGATTTCGGCGTTCTTTATATGTACGGAAACCTTGTGACATATTCTACAATTTGGTTAAGATTATTTATTCTAAATAATATTTTGTCGAAAAGTCATTTTCAACCCATATTGCCTCTAAATTGACTAGCCCGGATCTGCGGGCGTTACAGAAGGCTTGTGATAAGAATAAATATGTGGAAGTCTATCAAAGATGGAAATTATCTTTTGGATTCCAATTTTTTTGACAAATTCCATTCCTTCAAAAAACATTTTGCGAAACAAACGTCCCCTAAGTATTTTGATTAGTGGGCTAATCGGATGGAAGATTATCTTAATGGCATAGATAAAAATATGTGGAAGTCTATCAAAGATGGAAATTATCGTGAATATTTGGTTGAGAATATTGGTACTGTTGGAACAGATGTAGACATGGTTACTCGAGCAAACACCAGGAAGGCTTGTGATAAGAAAGCTCTTCGTGAATTGAGAGGTGCTCTTCCTCCTTTCGTCTACAACTACGTTCATGGGTGCACAACTGCAAAGGAAATATGAGACACTCTTAAATAGAAATATCAGGGTAATGAAAGAACAAGGAAGAGTTCTGTGACAAAATGTCTGTCTGAACTTGCTGATTTCAAGCAGAAAGAAAACAAAAACATTGAAGCTTATAATGACAGAATGAATGATCTGATTTTAAGATGCAATCGATATGGGGTAATACGTACTACTCTTGAATTCAATCTTACCTTCGTATATAGATTCAGAAAGGAATGGAGAAACATATTCTTGATAATCCCGACACAGGAGAATTTTGATACTCTTTTGCTGTCAAATTTGTACAATATTCTCATAGCACATGAAACATAGATAATGGAAATTGCTGAAGAAAACAAGTTGAACTATGGTGGTCCAATGGCGTTGGTGTCGAAAGAAAATGTGAAGGAAGATGAAGAAGGATTTCTAATCAATTCTGATGATGAAGCTGTTTCTTATTACTCTAATAATAGAGTGAAGAATTTTCTCAAGAAACCAATCAGTGGAGGTTTTAAGAACAATCTTGAAAAGAAGCAAGTGTCGAATGCTGGTGGAAGTCAGAATGTGAAAGCAAAAGTGGAGAAGAAAGAATATGATAAGAAGACAAAACTAATATTGAAAGGAGATTATGGATATAACTGCAATTACTATAAATGTACAATCATTTGGCTAAGGATTACATGTTGCAAAAGATGGAAGAGAAGAAAGAGAAGGTGAAAGATAAGGCGTATTATGCAAAGAAATTGGAAGAAGTTTGTGCTCCAACGAAAAATCTTTCACTTGTGGCCAGAAGAGGTGATGAAAATAATGGAACATATCAAATTTGGTCATTTAAATATGATGACGAAGAGATACATAATCCTACACACGGGGTGTTGTATGAAGGGTATAAAGAAGGAGAAGTTGATGAAGATTTGGTGGAGTATGCAAAAGCCCAAGAGGAAAGTGATGAAGAAGATGAGAAGATGATTGGGAGATGTTTTGTATCAACAAGTCCAAAATCTCCATTGACTGTAAAGGTATGTGATCTTCTAGTCTCATTTAATATTCCTTCGAATTCTTATCATTCTATCTTATGTGAATTTGATGAAACTTATTCTTACATAAATGACTTACTTGTTTCAATGACTAGCGAGGCAGAAAATTCTAAGGCGTTCTTGTATGAAGCTAGTAATAGGATTGAAGAGAAGAAAACTAAAATCAAAAGTTTTGAGCTTTATGTTAAAAATATTATGTGTGATAAGGACAGACTTAGGATGGATAATAAGATGCTAATTAAATAACAAAACATTTACTGTAATACTGCTAAACGATTGTATGGAAAACTTACATATCTTTGTCATTATGATGACATCTGTGTAGAACAACATATGAAGTTGCTTCCCTTTATTACTTTTAAATGAAGTTAGTTGATGAGACTACTTTCGAACGTGAAAGTTAAGTATCTGACTATACCACTATACCCAATGATTCATATGCTTGTGTTGTACTTAACATGAATAATTGTTTGAATGCAAATGAACTTGTTAAAAGTGTGAATGAGACTTTGACCAAAAGTGAACAAATCAAGATTTTAAATAAGACTGAGAATTCCACACAAAGTATTCAAGTACATGTTTAGAAGTTAATAACTAAGTGTAGATTGAAACAGATGTTGATTTATGTTAGTATAAATAAATATAACTATGTTTAAAGTCTAAACCATAAATAAATCAATATGATATGTGTCTGACCGTCGGTCTGTGGATGAAATGTCGTGGTAAAGTGTAGTCGCGTGCCTAGTTCCTCGTGGAACTTCATCCAGAAATGGGAGGTAAATCTAGCATCTCGGTCGGAAACAATGGAGACTGTAACCCCATGGCGAGCGATGATCTCGCGAACATACACGTCGGCCAACTTCTCGGCCGAAGAACGCTCCTGTATAGCCAAGAAATGGGGACTCTTGGTCAATCGATCTATGATGACCCGTATAACATCAAAAACCTTTGCCTTCCTCAGCAGTTTAGTAATGAAATCCATCGTGATCTGTTCCCATTTCCATATGGGAATCTCTAGGGGTTGCAACCTACCATGCGGCCTTTGATGCTCGACCTTGACCATCCTACAGGTCAAGCACCTCTCGACGTACCAAGCGATTTCTCGCTTCACACATGGCCACCGATAACTCAAACTCAAGTCTTTGTACATCTTGGTGGCCCTTGGGTGAATAGAGAAAAGAGACTTATGAGCCTCCTCCATGACTGTCTGACCCCACCAGACATCATAACCCATACCTGACCGCATCGGGTCAATAATCCTCGGCTATCTTGCACAAACTGGGTGTTCTCATCCCTGATCCTCTCCAACTTCCAGTTCTCTGGTCGCATGCCCTCAACCTGAGCATCTCTGATCAAACTCACAAGCAGAGAATCCACCGCTATCTTCATACATATCGCTGGGGTGGAAAACCCAACTGACTTGCGGATCAAGACGCCCGCCACCACATTCGCTTTACCGGGGTGGTAAAGGATCTCGCAATCGTAGTCCTTGACTACATCCAGCCACCTGCGCTGCCTCATGTTTAGGCTCGACTGATCCATGATATGACTCAATCTCTTGTGATCCGTGTATATCATACAACAGATCCCAAATAGGTAATGTCTCCATATCTTGAGAGCGAACACCACTGCTCCCAGCTCTAAATCATGCATAGGGTATCTCGTCTTATGTGGTTTTAGCTACCGCGATGCGTAGGCTATCACTCATCCTTTTTGCACGAGGACTGTCCCTAGGCTTGTGATGGATGCATCACAGAAGACCACAAATTCCTCAACTCCCTCTGGGAGAGTCAAAACTGGAGCCTCGCACAAACGCTGACGGAGGGTCTTAAACGCCTTCTACTGCTCAGGGCCCCACCGGAAATCTACCCCTTCCTCGTCAGATGAGTGAGGGTACTACAATCTTGGAGAAATCCCGAAAAAATCTCCGGAAGTACCGTATTAATCCCAGAAAACACCTGATATCTGAGGGAGATCTCGGCATCTCCTACTGCATGACTGCCTCAATTTTGGCCGGGTCGACCAAAATCCCCTCCTGGTTAACGAGATGCCCGAGGAACTAGACCTCTCATAATCAAAACTCACACTTCGAGAACTTAGCATACATTCGTTCTTGTCTTAGAACTCCCAATAACTCCCTGAGGTGATCCTCGTGCTGCTCTCGAGTCTTGGAATATACCAAGATATCATCAATAAACACTATGGCCGAGCGATCAAGCATCGGTCTGTAGACCCGATTCATCAGGTCCGTGTATACTGCTGGCGCGTTGGTGAGCCCAAATGGCATCACAACGAACTCGTAATGACCATAACGAGTCCGAAACGCGGTCTTCTCCACGTCCTCCTCTCTGACCCGGACCTGATGATACCCCGACCTCAAATCTATCTTGGAGAACCAAGATGCACCCTGTAACTGATCAAATAGATCATATATCCTCGGGAGTGGATAACGGTTCTTCAAAGCTAACTTGTTCAACTGCTTATAATCAATGCACATCCGGTGCGAACCATCATGCTTCTTAACGAATAGGATCGATGCTCCCCATGGAGAACTACTAGGTCAAATGAACTTCTTGCCCAACAGTTCCTGCAACTATGATGACAACTCATGCATCTCGGGTGGCGCCAACCGGTACGGCGCCTTGGCGATAGGGGCCACACCCGACACCAGGTCGATTAGAAACTCGACCTGCCTCTCCGGAGGTATCCCTGACAACTCCTCCGGAAACACATCAGCAAACTACCTAAGTACTGAAACCTATGAAACTAAAATCTGATCCCTGACTCGTGTAGACCACATACACCAGAAAACCCACACACCCGTGATGAATATACTGTTGAGCCCTAGCAGCTAAACATAACCCTGATCCCACTCTGGTGCCCTCGCCATATACAATCAGTCCCCTCTTGGGGTTCGAACTACCACTCGCTGGCCCTCGCAATCTATCATAACACCAAATCGACTAAGCCAGTCCATCCCCACAATAACGCATACTTCCCCCATGGGAATCAGAATCAAATCTATCGGAAAGGATACTCCAAAGATCTCCAACTCGCATCCTCGATAGACCAAAGAAGTAGAAACTCCGTGTTCATTGGCGATAGAGACTCGCAACGGACACTCTAGCTCGCCTACTTGCACACTGACCTCCCCCACTAAATGTATGAGATATGAAAGACCGACTCGCCCTCGAGTCTAATAAAACCAATGCAGGCAAGGAGTTCACTAAAAATGTACCTAAACACAGGTACAACAGATAAGCATAACACATATAAAATATATGGGATAAAGGATAGAAACATACCAGCAACCACATCCGATGCTGCCCTGGCCTCCTCGGTTGTAAGCTGGAAGGCACGCCCCTAAGCCTTCGGAGGCTTTGTCTTAACCGGCCTCCCATCTGAAATCCTCAATGTAGCCGGCGCTGAAGCCTGCGCTGGCTTGGTGGCTAGAAGAGGACATTGGGCCTTCATATGGCCCACCTGCTCATAATGATAACAAAGACTGACTCCTGAAGCCGGAGTCTACTTCCTGCAATCCCTGGCCAGATGGCCCTGCTTGCCACATCGGTGGCACCCACTCCCTGATCGGCACGTCCCTGAATGAGCCTTTCCGCACTTCCCACAAGTATGACATGACTGTCCCCCAATCCTGGTATCAGTGGTCTTAGACCGCTTCAGTGCCGGCTGCGACTATGTTGGGGCCTACCGTTGCTCCCTCAACTCTAGCTCGATCTCTAACTCACGCCACCTCGTTGCCTCCTGTAGCTCTGGCAGAGTATCACATCACTGGGTAGACACAAACTGTCGGATGCCGGTCTTGAGCATGCTCAGATAACAATTCATTTGAGCTTGCTCGGAAGCAAACTCTGGGCAGAACATCACCCTATCTGTGAACATACGAGTGATCTCCGTGACTGACTCCCCATCCTGTCTCAAACTCAAATACTCCTGAGCCAAACGCTCCTGCTCAACCCATGGAATGTATCGAGCGTGAAACATATTGTAACATCCGTGTTTCTAGGCTAGGTATTAATATTGATGTAATAGTCTAGGTTAACTTTTGTAACTTGTTTTGAAGTAATAGAAATGTATTATTTGAGTATTATGTGTTTATTGCTTAATTGTGTGACTTAAATGAATTAAGAATAAAAATAAGCATAATAATAAAATATTAGATAAGCCTAATATCTATAAAGGAAGTTGTAGTGGTCGTGACAAGGGTTCCGGATATATAAAGAATGCCAAAATCCAAGCTATAACGAAGAAGTTATGACCTGTCGAAGTTTCACGATAGAACTGGTACGACACTGTGTGACATAAATAGTGAATTTATGATAGAGCGATATTTAGCATTAGTAATCTAAACAAAAGTCATAGAATATGTTAAACTGAGACCGTGCATAAGAAGAACACCTAAATCTGACTTCGTATGAGGAAGTTATGATTTTTCGAAGTTTCGACTTAGCGGTATGCAACCCGAAGTTCGAATATGAGATCGAGTGATTTCTATCCGAAACAATCTAAACAAGAATCGAAGATCTCCTTGATAGTACTACAATGGTAATAATATAGACGAAGACAGACGTCGGATGAAGGAGTTGTGAATTGCTAACGGAGTTTTCCTATCTCGGCCTACTAAAATAATATAATAAAAGTTAAATCCAAAATTAGCCGATGGAGTCTATACGAGAGTTATAAAACATAATCTCACTTACGCATGCATATAAAGAACATCGAAAATGGAGCTCGTATGTGAAAGATATGAATTTTTGAAGTTTGGGGAACAAATTTACACCTGTGTCAGAGCTCACGACGTGAGAAGGTGATGGGTGCCTTCCAGAGCAAGTGGCCAAATGACAAACATAGTGACATATCGAGCTCACGACGTGAGCATAGATTTTCAGCCCTATAAATAGAAATTGAAGGGCAACCAACCATGGTTGCTAATTCCCCACTCTCTCACTCCCGATACTCTCTCTAGCCGTCTTGAAGTACCCCCGAAGCCCCGGTATCATCCCGAAGCCCGAAGCAAGCCCTGAAGCACCAAAGATCCCGAGAAAAAAAAGAGTTTTCGAGCCGAAGCTCTGCCCGCGAGAAGCCCGATGTGTGAAGATATCCCGGATTCATCGAAGAGTTACTACTTGAAGAACCGTATAGCTGTCCGATAATCTTCTTCTCAAGTGAGTGCATAGTCCCTTTCATATACACGATTGTTAATACAAGTATTGTTGTATGTATTAAGT